GTTTTGGTTTCCTCCTCACTCGCGGTTCCGTGCCTGTTGGGGACGGATTTCTTGGCCAAAATGCCCATCCGTATCCTGATTGACCAGGGGTGCATCGAGCTCCCATCGGGCCGACGTGTTACATTTTTGTCTTCCCCCACCACGGAGCGTCGGGCGTTTGCCACCGTGCAGGCGCTCGTGACAAAAACTGTGCGCGTACCTCCGGGGGCTCAGATGCTCGTCCCTCTTAGGTTGCGTCGGCCGTTTGCTGAAGGGGTTGCGGATCGGGGGGTCTTGTTGGGACCATCTCGAGCCGGGGTCAATGGACCCGATTTGCTAGCGGCTCAGACCATGGTGAGAGGGGATGGGGACCCCTTCATTGCAGTCCTTAATGTAGGATCGCGAACGGCCGTGGTTCCTCAAGGGACCGTGCTTGCACACGCAACGCCGGTACCCTATGAGGAACCACTCGTGGGTCAGGTAACCACCGATCCTCCGTCGCGACCGCATTCGGACTGTGATGACGGATGGCTGGATGCGCTTTGCGCGGGATCAGTGGACCTGTCCGACTCGCAGCGCGCGCAGTTGCGAGTTCTCCTGAGCGAATTTGCTGACGTTTTTAGTCAACACAAATTTGATATTGGTTGTACTAAATTGCTGCGACACCATATTGACACGGGTGACAGCGCGCCAATCCGCCAAAATCCCTTTCGGTTGAGTCCCGCCGAAAAGGATCATGTCAAATCGGCTGTTGATGACATGCTAGCCGCCGATATCATTTCCCCTTCCAACAGCCCGTGGGGCGCGCCGATCGTTTTGGTGAAAAAACACGACGGCTCACTGCGGTTTTGTGTCGACTTTCGGCGTTTGAACAAAATTTCTGTGGCAGATGCGTACCCGCTTCCTCGAATGGATGAGTCGCTCGATGCCTTGGCGGGGGCGCGATTCTTTTCCACCCTCGATTTACTATCTGGATTCTGGCAGCTTCCTCTGGATGACGAATCAAAACCTAAGACTGCTTTTCATACACCGCAAGGTCTCTTCCAATTTAACCGGTTGCCGATGGGTTTACATTCTGCGCCGGCAACTTTTCAGCGGTTAATGGAACTGGTCTTGGCAGGCTTGCAATGGGATTCGTGTTTAATTTACTTGGACGATGTCATCGTCTTTAGCAAATCCTTTGAGGAACACCTCCAGAGGTTGCGTGCTGTTTTTCTCAAAATGCGGGCTGCCAATTTAAAATTTAAACCGCAGAAGTGCCATTTGCTCCGCGAATCTGTGCGGTATTTGGGTCACATTGTTGGGCGCTCGGGGATATCCACTGATCCCGCCAAAACGGAATGCGTCAGCTCCTGGCCGACTCCCACCTCGGTGGGAGAGGTCAGGAGTTTCTTTGGGTTCGCGTCGTATTATCGACGGTTTGTGGCTGACTTCGCTACGATCGCGAAACCATTGCATGCCTTGACGTCCAAGGGAGTCAGGTTTCATTGGGGGCCGGAAGAGGAAGCTGCTTTTCGCGCCCTCCGGAATGCCCTGGTGGGGGCTCCGCCGTTGAATTACCCCGATTTCTCACAACCCTTCTTGCTCGATACAGATGCAAGTAACACGGGCATCGGGGGCGTGCTGTCCCAGCTCATTGGGGGCGTAGAGCATGTGGTGGCTTACGGTAGTCGGGTACTGTCTCCAGCCGAACAACGGTACTGCGTTACCCGTCGGGAATTATTGGCAATTGTTTATTTCATTCAGCAGTACCGCCCGTATCTGTACGGTCGGCGTTTCACCGTCCGTACAGATCATGCGGCCCTACAGTACGCCCTGCGGGTTCAACAACCATCGGGCCAGTTGTCTCGATGGTTGGAGATTCTCCAAGACTATGATTTTGTCACCACATATCGTAAGGGCGTCCGCCACACGAACGCTGACGCCCTGTCGCGGTTGCCACCCACTTCGGAGTGCGCTTGCCTCTTGGGTTCGGGGCGTTGTAGGCCCCCGAACGTCACCACCGATTCGGTCCTCGTGGCCGCCGCCGATGCGCCTTTGGCTTCGGGTCCTATCGAGCAAGAAGGGAGGGATTCGTTGCTGGGGTTGTCGGTCGCGGAATGGGGACGCCTCCAAATGGAGGACACCTCCCTCCTCGCTCTGCGCCGTCGCGCCGGGGGGGTTGGTCAGGGGGTGGCGAACGTTGACTCGTGGGGGTTGTTCCAGGGTCTTTTAATGCACTGGGACGGAAAAACATGCCGCCAGCGGCTTGTGGTGCCTGCAGCATTAAGGGGTAAGGTGGTATGGGCTGTTCATGAGCGGCTTCTGCACTTGGGGGTTCACAAGACCTTTGCCACGCTCCAGCTCGATTTCTTCTGGCCGGGCATGGCAAAGGACGTGGGGGATCTCCTGGGGTCGTGCACGCAATGCGCGCAGCGGAAGCCACCTGCTAGGGGGTCCAACCCTCCGCTGCAGTCCATAAAGGTTTCCCGGGTTAACAAGCTCGTTGCTCTAGACATACTCGGCCCATTTCCCGCTACACCCAGGGGGAATAGGTATTTATTGACAAGGGTCGAGTACTTCACGAGAGGGCCTATGGCCTGGCCCCTGGCCAACCAGTCGGCAGCAGCCATCGTGGAGGCCTTTGTCCAGGGCTATGTCCTCGACAAGGGTGCTCCGGAACGGCTGCTTACTGACCAGGGTAAGAATTTTTCGGGAAAACTCCTCCGCGAGGTGTGCGACCTCTTGGGTACGGAGAAAATTCGGACCTCCCCGTATCACCCACAAACTGACGGGATGGTGGAACGGCTGCATCGGACCATCACGTCTATGCTGTCCCAGCAGGTGTCAGTATCCCAGACAGATTGGGACCTTCGCATAGCCGGTGTGTTGCAGGCCTACAGGATGGCTCCCCATGCGGCCACCGGATTTTCCCCTTTCTTTTTAATGTATGGACGCGAGGCTAACCCCCCTGTAACGACCCAGCTGAAGCTCTCGGCGCCCCAGGCGAAGTCTAACTTGTCCGAACACGTTAAATTTAACATCAGCAAATTGTCTGAGGCGCGGGAAGCGGCCGTGCAAAATTCTGAACTCCGCCAGAGGGCGACCGAGAGGCTTCGGCTGGGGCGGGTACATGTGTTCAAATGGAAACCAGGGGACAGGGCATGGTTGCACTGTCCCCAGGTGCCGCTGGCAACCTCGTCAAAATTGGTACGGCCGTGGCGGGGGCCAGTGGAGGTCGTACAGGTCTTGCGGCCGCAATGTGTTCGCGTCAAATGGGGGAGGCGTCGGTGGTACGTGCACCCCTCAAGGTTGAAACCGTTCATCGCGCCGCCCCGTGGTTCACACACACACACGCATGGCCAAACGTGTGAGGGTTCCGCCGACTCCCCGACGTCGCTGCTCTCGCCTAACCTGACATCAACTGTTCCGTCTCCAGGTGCAACAGGAGTGACGGGTCCACGCCCGCCAACCCCTCCCGGAGGGGTCGGGGGTCACTCGGCAGCGACGCCAGACTCTCTTGCACCCGGATCGTCAACAACCACCACTGAGCGTGCCGGGACGGGCCCTTGTGACGGGCCCGCCGCGAGAACGCGTGCCAAAACGCGCAGACTATTGTGAGGTCGGCCGTTGGGGGGCCTTGCGGACAGTGGGGGGGGGGTGGCGTCCGGAGTGCGTGTATATATGTCGGTTTTGGGGTATTTATTCGGGGGGGTGCGTCGGGTTATTTTTTTTCTCTTCCTGTTGTTCTTGTTATGGTTCTCTTTGTTCTTGTTAAAATTACGCGAGGCACACACACGGTTTTCGGGTGAGATGCACCTTTATTCTAAAAAATGTTTTGCAGCCGGGGACGGCTGCGAGCTGTACAGGGGGGGGTGATGTAGAGGTGTAATTGTGCATGGCCACGGATGTTGAGGTGTAATTGTGCATGGCCACGGGTGGGTAACAAACACAAGGGGCGGGGTTACGGCCGTACACAGGGGAGGTGCTCGCACCGACGTCCGCACCTGCATCCCCCACGGGCCCCTCCCGGGGGCCGAGTCCTATAAAAGGTGGTGAGCCGGAGGGCTCGAGGTCGGAGCTCAGCTTTAACCAGAGAAGAAGGAAGACCTGCTAGAATAGGCCCCAGAGCTCCCCTGGCTCGCTGTCCTTATAAGGGTCGACCAGGGCAAGCCGGTGGCGTGGCCCCGAGAGCCCAGACCGACGAGCAGGTCTGGAGACTCAGGGTGCCGGGATCCCAGCTTGACCAGGGCTGGGATAGATAGCCTCCCCTAGCTCCGTAGTGGAGGACTTGGGCATAGGTTAGCGGGGTTAGCTGTTGTGTATCCCTGTAGCCAAGTGACCCGTAATTACTGTGTATGCACAAGTTGGTGTAATAAACAAGTGTGCCTCCGATCCTGTCGTCAAGCCTCCTACATACTTACTACACATATAGTATTCTAACAACTGGCTATTCTAACAACTGGAGGTTGGTCTCCCACTTAGTCGCCAACCTCTTGCTGCCACACCAATGACTGACTTGGTAACCTGCTGCATCTTGCACATGCCCCACTCGTTGCAACTAATTACATGTGAAAACCACTACTATTAACTGCAATGTCCTATTCAATTCTACATTTCTTTACCTATCCTTGATTTATATATAATTATAATCATCTTTATGCAACTCTATGCAAAGGCCAAAATCTTCCTGAAGTTATGAAATCAACTCGCGTGTAGGAGCTAAGTGGATCATTGCAATATAAGTATGTAAAAGGTGATGATGGTTTGGGGAGGCTGTAACAGCGGATAGATCATGGCTAATAATGATATGAGAATTGTGATACGTCTATCACCGAAATTTTCTCATCTGGAGATGTGCATCATAGAGAGTAATGTCATTTATTTTGCCTCTGCCCAGAGTCCATTGCTAACTCTGATATGGCCTAGCTTAGGCCTTGTAAAGGCTACATTGATCTGGGCCCATGTACCCGCGCAAGTATCTCGGCTCTCTCTGCTTAATGTGCTGCCGTGTGAGTAACTGATCGCTCTGTGAAGGATACAGGAGCTGCTCCAGGCCGGAGTGGTCCAAAGTTCCCACAGTGTTGTAGACCAGGATGTTGGAGAGCAGCACGGCCATGACGAACAACCAGATGTCATGCTCCTCATTGGCCTGTGGGACAACGGGTTTCTTTTAAATTATACACCAATATGTCTTACCCCTGCACTTATTCTCCAATGCCTTGGAGTTTGTGCTTTTGTTATTGCTGATTTAGTGCATAATTGTTGCCTCCAAGTTATGGTCAGTGCTGTTTTTATTCTTCTTTCATCTCTTCTACTCCTTTCTTTATCTATTATATATGACGAGCTGATGCAATGGTTCTACCCCGTCCTCTTGGGTCTTCTACACATCTTTTCAGCTCTATGTGCATCTTTATATGAAACGTGGTATTTGAATAATATGCTTATGATTATGTTGGCTACTGTACAAAGACCACGCTGTATGTAAATTAACACTTGTGTAGCGACATCGTGGATGTCACTGGGTAATGCCAGCTCTAGTGAAGCACGTCGTGCGATGTATTGCCATCACGGACACGCCGTATATATGGGTGTAGTACCAGCCCTAGAGGAGGCTCGGTGAGCGCTGATTGACAGTGGTGAGTGGCACCACGCTATTCGTGTAGTGCTGACCCCTACAGGGTAGGTTGTGAAAGTGCGGGACAGAGGAACAAGGCTACTATGGGCCATGGCACTATGGTTGACCCCGAAGGACACGTCACCAGTAAAGTCTACACAGGGCCCCAGGTGGGGGCTAGGAGGTGATCACGTGTCGGGGCAAGATCCTACGGGAAGGGTCGAAAAACGACAAGAGGGTTCTCGAAGGTGGCCGTGGCTAAGGGCGGGGCCAGCCACGACCCGGGAGCATATAAACCGGGTCCCCACAGGCACTGGAGTCCAGCGTTGCTGTCGTCATCTGAATATCTACGTTCCATATCCGGGAAGATTCACCAACACGTGGACCTGGACCCAGGCTGGGGTCCGGTCCGTTGTAGCTACTCCCAGTGTGGTTAATGTACAGGGTGTTTAAAATGCATAGACCCGATTTGAAATCGCTATATCTCTGCAACCATGAACTACTCATGAATGAAACTCTTACCACTCTGAAAGGGCGGGACATAGAGTTTAAAATGATTATTGCTAGATGCCTCTCCCAGCGCACAAACAGCCCCTGGCCTCAGTCATTCGCAAGATGTTGACCCCGCAACACAAGGCGTTTTGCGTTCTGTAGTTCAGCAAGACTGAATCCGTAATTGCGGTGCAGCGTGCATTTCAATGGCGTTTTGGCATTGATCTACCAATTTCAAAGAGCATTCGTCGTTGGTACCGACAATTTGAGGAAACAGGCTGTTTATGTAAGGGGAAGAGCACAGGGCGACCACGCACCTCAGAGGTAAACGTGAGAAGAGAGGCGTTTGGGACGAATTCAACTATCGTCTCGATGTTGTCCGTACAGCAGGTGGATGGCATTTAGAACATTTATAAAATGGTTAGTAAAACTTTATAACTCTTTAAACCGTTTGTAACTTTTCGTGTAATTGTAACATGTTATCATCGTGAAATATACTGCTTTGAAATTGGGTCCATCTCTTTCAAACACCCTGTAGTTTAACCTGGTGGTCCACCACCATAGGCAGTTATATGGTAAAGAAGCAGTTACCCCTTAGTGTTAATGTGTTGCCTCCTAGAAGTACGTCTGCGACTCAGTTTTAATCCACTATACTTGCACCTGTTTTGTATACTTATGTTTTCATTGCTAATGTTATAATTCGGTCTTCTCGGCTTTTGGTCCGAATGTTTGAGTACATTTTAAGAAAAATGTGATTCTCATTGCAAATGTGATTTTGAGAATTGTTCTTCAAATTACCGGTGTGCTAATATAATATTTGGTGCTTTAAACACTTGCTGACATGTTTGACTGTATCGGATATTTGAGGGATACACAACATCAATTTGGCCAGATAATTAGGTGGCCTTGCCAAAAGTACATTTTGACTTATGTCTTTGCTCATTCCCAAGCTAGAATACTCAGCCAGCACGGTTCAATACATCTGGTTTGAGTTCTGAGACCCTGTCAGAAAATAACCATCATCCCACTCGTAATTATATGAAGCAAATCTGGTCAACTTTCATTTCCTGACTGGTAAATATGTAAACAAATGAGAAAGTAACTGGTGAACGGATAAGATTCTTACGAATGAATATGAAATCAACATACACATCCATTATTCACCACTAAACTGAGGTGATATCACCATGGCATTTTTCTCGAATCGGTGCAGTTTGAAGCCACACGAAGTGTTTAAGTTCATAAGCACGCAGTAACTGAGATGACTCGCAGATGCACCACCTGTGCTCCCCACTGTCACTATGTGTTTAGCCACCCGTCTTGATGCTCATTGTTGTGAATATGCCTCTGCCCTCCGTGGTTGCTGGAGGGCCAACCTCCTCCAACTGCCTGGCATAGTGCTTCACGAGTCCCCTCTGCAGAGGCCAATGTTTACACCACTGGTACTTTTCGTGGCAAGTTTAATCAATTCAAAATCGTCGCATAATATAACACCCCATATTTTATCTCATCTGCGCCATGCTCATTTAACCCCCTCTATCCAGCCACACAGAAGCTTTCTGGTTATGCAGTTGCTGCCCATGAGGGCTACATGGCCCTACCAATGCAACCTTCCCTGCCAAATGAGCTCACGAATGGGAATGCCCAGACCGTTCAAAGATTTGGGCAATCATCACACAATTACATTCAGCTCCAAATCCTTCCCTCAATCACCAGTTAATTCAGCTCCAGATCCTCGTGTAACTCTGAACCCATCAGCTCACGTCTTCTCTTGTGCATGTTATAACTGCTTCGTGTCCTCTAGCCAGATAAACAAGAGCAAGCTGGGAATGTATTGGTTAGGTACATATGCTGCATGACACAACCAAGCATAGTTATTAGTTGTTGCACCTCTGATGGACGATGTAGGCCTCATGTCATGCACTGAATTGGTCTTGCCTGAGGAACAAGGAACGGTCTAAACTGTATTTGGTCCCAAAGTCAGGGCACCAAATGGAGATTCTATCACTACTGTGTTTCATTTTTTTTGTTGGACATTTCTTCAAGCTGATTTGGGTCAGCTGCAGTCCTTCCACAGGCGATGCTAAAGACGCCTTTTTGGCGTCAGATGGTTACATTTTGTAATAAATGTCACGATTACATCTATGACTGACCAGTCTTCTATCGATTGAGAGCTTACTTCAAAGGAAACAGCTATCACTTTGTGGATGCATTGCCCATCTTGATGCACAAACTCCAGCAAATTTCTCACTTCAATTGGCGGTTGACGTTTGAAGCAGACAGTGACCTGCAATAGAATGGCGCTGTCCCCATAGTCACCTCCTTGACACATGGTTTAAACAAATCACTTTTGACACTGAAATGGCAGCAAGATCAGTTTTGTGAATGCTGTCCCAAGAGTTCATACGATAGGCACAACGTTTCTTTGTTGACTATTCGTGATGATGTATTAATTGACCCAGAAGGTGGCATTGCAATGCAATTTTCAGTGTGGAACAGAGTAGGTGTTCTGCCCCACGGCAGATATGGGGGTATGTTTACACAGTAACTTCCTGATATGGTGTTGAGTTTGGTCACGTGACCAGGAAGTTATGATTTAGGATTCTCTAAACCAGAGGCAGGGGTGTCAGCCATTACACAGAGTACAAAATGGAGGCATAAATAGCATCTCAGTGAAGACAGGTGCATCTGTTCATTGTGGGACTTTAGAAGCATTGTCCATAAGTTCGTTTATGTTCTTATAATACTGAGAATGCTGTTATAATGTTAGGATTGCTGTTAATGCCTTTATAATGCTGTGAAATTGTTATGATGAATATGAGGCCTAGTTAACAACGAAGCCTGCCACTTGCATTATTGTGGATGTTATTTGTAGTTGGATTAGTCAATCCAGACTTGTGCTCATGTACCTTTAGTTTCAGTTTCATTTATTAGGTACTAGCTTTACTACCCGGCTTCACCCGGGACTTGGATTCTTGTCTTGGATTAATAAACGGCCTACGCGGGAGGGTGGGGGGGATGCGTGACGTCAGCAGGCACACTACGTGGCGCTGTCGCGTGTGGGTGACATCACAGATGTGGCGTCACCGCTCACTTGCCGTGCAAAATATATCCATTATTATGCCCCCCCCCCCCACCAAAATACAAAAGTCTATTTTTATCTCTTGGGCTCTCTCACTCTAGTTGGGATGGAGGTTCAGCCAACACCGCCTGGGCGAGGAGAGCAGCACCCCACGAAAACCTTAGCCGGCTCTTACAGAGTTCTCAGAGCGCTACCCCTGGCTAACTACCTATGAGATCTTCACTCAAAACTGCTCGAGAGGAGTGGTACACCCCGCCTCTGCTATTCAGTGGCCTAAAATCAAATGTTTCACTCCGGATGACCGCTGCAAAGTATGATCTTGTGTTTTGATTTAGTGTGCTGATCTTTAAAGGTGCATTGAAAATATTTATACTCCTACTGATGCTCCTACTGTTGTGGAGTGACTCATGCAGCCAGCTAAGGCTACAGGGTTTGGTGGTACATGTTGTTAATGTCGTTTATTGTGAAATTTCGGTCACAATTCCTATCATCACTGTTACATTGCTTTTATGGCTTTATTTGGTGATTTCGAAAATGTTTTTTGGTTTGGCCATGTTTGGCATTGTCTCATTCTTCACCTGAAGACGGCTGCTTGCGTTGTGGCCGAAACGTCGTGAGAATTATTTTATTTTATTATGTTTTATTTTTATTATTTTATTACTTCCCTTCTACGTGACTTTACCGAAAGAACCAAGAAGAAGTGGGCCATGTTTGTTTGTTGTAGTATAGAGTTAAACTGATGGCTTTAATCTATGTTGTCTTGTAGTTGTCGTTGTTTGACTTGCATCCCACTGGGATTTTTGCACACAGTGTTAGTGTACGGTGCTTTTTCTGGAAGATTTTGCTGTTTTTTCCTGGATTTTTCTGTTTGCGCAGAGTCACTTTAAGATGTTTTTTTGTTCATTTTTTTTGTTTGTTGCGGTTGCACCCGATTCATGAGCCGAATGACTCACAGGGCTATACCAAATGAATGAAACTGAAAACTGAAATATCTTCGGCTCTCCTACTCGTAGAACCCAGATGGGGGATCAGCCAACACCATCCGGTCACGAGCAGGAGAGACCTCCTTTCAGACTCTCTGCATCCCGGGCTCCCCTTTCGTCACGGGGTCCCCCTTAAGTATCCCCCATGACATGATGTCATCACGCCTCACAGCGCTCATGAAGTCACGTCGTCATACTACTCCTCTACAATTGTATTGATATTGCAAGTATTAACAGATGCTGCATTTTGTGCTGTTTTTCCATCAGTTTTACCTCATTCTATTCATTAAATAGGTTTGGAGTCGGATATTCACCCTGGCTCTGAAGGTTTATTGAATTCGAGGTTAACTACTCAGATAGTGGTGCAACGCAGTGCACAGCAAAGCCGAGACAGTTCGACAATAGGGAATGAGAAAATATTATCGAGACCTGTGATAAAGAGTTATAGAACACCCTCAGGCCAGCCTGAATTATATGAAAATTCCGATTATGGATAAAGGACTCATGTGCTAAACAGAACCACTATAACAATCCCTACGACAGCCTTGTGGTTGCATGGACGTTTTCCACATTATATGTGGCGTCCATGTACCGGAAGCTGTTTAGGTCTGATGTTGATAGAGCAAAGACGGCATTAACTACACTCTTTGGGTTGTTTGAAGTCCAGGTCTTGCCATTCAGTCTGACAAATATACAGGCTAGATTCCAGAGACTGGTAGTACTGGTGACGTGGGTCCTACAGTGCGAAAAATGCTAGATACACCTGGATGATGTGATTTTTATTTGGCAATAGAATGGCTGAGCATATTTCCAGAGACTGCAGGCAGCCCATCTCAAGATCAAGCCTTGTCTTTATTTCCTCACATGAGGGAGGTGTGTGCCTGAGGCACCATTAAATCGAGAAGTAGGTTCAGACATTCATGGAATATAACTGAGGGACGGTCATTCCTGTAGCTCACACCATACTACCACCAGTTTCTTATGATATCTTGATATTTACATGCCCATAACCAAAGTAACACCCCTAAGAATCCCTTTAGGTGGTCAAAGTCCTGCCTGGATGCATTTAGCATGCTGATGAATACCCTGAACTACACCATAATTTTAGTTTACTCTAATATTTTCCTCGAGCTGATCCTAGATAAGGATGCCAGCAGCCTCAGACAGAGCACTGTATTCTTGCATGTGTAATGGACTCGAGGAGGCCACCGTGGTGTGGAGACAGTACCGAATGAGGGGTGGTACTGTAAGGGCAGTGCCCGGGTGTCGCTGAGAAGGGGGTCATGTGAGGATGTGACAGCGAGGTGAACCCGAGCGGGCACGTGACCGGACGTGGGGGGAAGGGGGGCCCCTAGTCGGGGGTGAGAGGATTATGTTATGGGGATCCAGAGTCCCCACGAGGGTACTGGAAGGGGGGCTTGGCCAAGGGCGGAGCCGGCCACGAAAGGGGAGTTATAATCGGGGTCCCGAGAGGGATTGCAGCGCTCAACTCTGGGAATGAAGTCGCCATCCTCGATCCTTGGTCCTCGAATTTTCTCTCTGAGTTTTAGTTAAGTTAGCCATGGTGGTCACCACCCTATGCTGTCATCCTGTCAGAGTTACCCATTGTGTTAAATAAACGTGTTGCTTTCAAGTACAAGTGTGCGCCTAAGTTAACACACACTACACATGTACCAGCTGATGAGTAGCAGTTCATCGCATATGTAAGTTGGTCCCTCAGTAAGGATGAATTGAACTACTACATCATCTGACAGTAACTATATTTTGTGATGTTTGTCTGTAAGCAATTCTATCCTGGTTTTACATACGATGCTAACAGACGCACAGGGATCACTATACCCTGCAGTTTCTGTTCCATTTTAAGGAACCTTGGGGGCAGATGAATGGATGCACTGTTGAGGAGATATCAGATGGGCCCCAGAACACCCTTAACAGAGGCCTGCCAATGTATGGATGGTGCCATAAACCTATGTTAATTATTGCTCCCATTATCAGTGTAGTGAGTGAGCTGACAGTTGGAAAGGCAACCCCAGGACCCAGTCCACAAGTGGCAGACCCCAAGAGAGATGGCCTGGACCGAGGCCGGAGTGCCAGTAGCCTACCCTTCTAGGTGCTCGTACCACCAGGTTCTGAAACTGGTTCCTCCACTATGCCTGTGTGTCAGCTCTACACATGAAACATGTACCTTCTCTACTCTTTGGTTCTTTCGGTAAAGTCACGTAGGTAGAACTATGATAGATAACGACGTTTCGATCGCAACACAAGCAATCGTCATCAGCAAGAAAAAAACTGCTGAAGTAGGCGAGATATCTGCCGTGGCACGAGGTTATATAGGCCTCAGCAGTAGGGGGAGAGAAAAGGGGGGGGGGGAAGAAGGCGGGCCAGAAAGTAGACCACGCAGCAGCACCCGGGTCACTGGAGTATAGTGGGCCATCGTGGGCTCACACGAAATTGACTTTTCGAAGACGAAGGTTCTCTGCAAACCCACCAGGCTATTATCAGAGATTTGTTCATGAAGCCATCCAGATATATAGACACAGACACAACTTCAACCGAGAAGATGGGTACAAACTGAGCAATCATTGGAAGGACGTTATTAACCAGGTAAAGTCTTAACTGACTCTGATGTTTCCATCCTACCTGCCCATGTCAGCTATTATTTCCGACTCTCTGTGTGTCTTTTTCTCTCTCTCTCTCTGTGCTGTCCCGCTTCCCCCCCCCCCCCCTTTTTTTCTCCCCCTCCCTGCAGCCAATCTCTCCAGTGCTGTCGTGGTGGTCCACTTTACTCCAGTGACCCGGGTGCTGCTGCGGGGTCCACTTTCTGCCCCGCCTCCTTCCCCCCCCCCCCCTTATATGTGCCCCCCTACTGCTGAGGCCTATATAACCTCGTGCAACGGCAGATCTCTCGCCTACTTCAGCAGCTTTTTCTTGCAGTGGTTGTCCCACCTGATAACGATTGCTTGTGTTGCGATCATTTTATTGAGACAATTAATCCTTTTTAACACCAAATGTTTTGTTATTAGGGTATAAGCACAACAGCCCCTCACCTTCTCCACATCGCCTAGCCCCTCTGTGTCCAGCAGCAGCAGACATTTCCTCTCGTCGCGGGGGTGACGGACTGGCCAGATCCAGATGCCCTTGGTCTGCGACTGCAATTCGTTACCTAGTGAGAAACCTGAGGAAGCCAGACAAATAAACGAGTCATCTTGCGTATAACGTACAATATGGCCCACTCACTTTTTTTGTGAGCTCTACTACCTCGGGTGCACTCACAGGATGTCCAGTGACAGGACAAGAGGTTCCTGGTGCAAACTGTAAGTGGATGTTTGGTCCCACAACATCGTGTCTCCTGGATGTTCTTTCTTCTTCACTTGTGATCCGGTTTAAGTATCACAGATGTATTCCCCATCTGATCCTTCCCTCTAAGTTTTTAGAATCCGCCTTCCTCCTGTGGTTGCCCAATAGTGTTTTTCCCCTCCTAAGCCCAAGTGATGTTTAACTGTACCGTGACGTCAGGAACCTTCTTCTGCCTATATGCACAGGGATGAAATAAATTACGCATACACTTTTGTTGTTATAATTGTGTCCTTGTTTAAACATGTAGTGACACATTGCCGACTTCACAGCCCTCTTTATCACTGTAAAGTGTTCATTGTTTATCATCCACCAATGGCCAATTATACTTGTTAAAGAAAATGTACTGAAATAAATAAATAATTCTCCTAAATATTCATGATATACACTGGGCGAAGATCCCGGGCCGACCCAAGAAACGCTGGCGGGACTATGTTGCTCGCCTGGCCTCAGAATGTGTGGGGATTCTCCAGGAAGAGCTAGTCTGTCGCCAGGAAAAGGGAGGTCTGGACTGCCCTACTCATCATGCTGCCCCTGTGACCCTCACCAGGCCAAGCGGATTGAAAAACTAACAAATGAACGAACGATATACATATATAATCACATGATGTATTCCCAGAAAGCCGTGAGGCCAATGGGTTGTCTTTAAATACTTTTTGTATTTTCCAGGACAGATAGAGGACGAATACGTTGTCTGCTTGTGTGTTTGGTTACTCATATTCTCCACGTTAGGAATAATTTTGTGTTATTCAAATAAATAACACAGGAAAAAGTAGTACACAAACACACACGTGGTGGGAACATTCTAGTTTCAAAGCACATGGTGTAACGTGTGCATATGGCAGAGCTAGGGCTGCCACCTGTTTTAGTTTTTCTAGGTAGCTATCCTGGGAAATTTGCAAGTGTTACCAGGACAAAAACATTGACTTCAGCAACCTTGGCTTGCTTTCTGCCGGGGAAAAAAAACATCGTCGTGACCGGCTGACTCGGCACAGTAATTGTGTGGCTCAGGTGTGCAGTGCAAAAAAGGTAACCAGGCACCACACTAGAAGTGGGCAGATACGTGGCACCCACCCAGCCCTATCCCTAACCCCTACCGATGGCGTTATCTCTTTCACTGACCACCTTTGGAGTGTCTCTGAGGGCAGGTGCCAGGCCCACAGGGTGCTTGCTCAGCCTACCCGGGACCAGCACGGGGTCTACTTAAACAGGACCAATGCCTCCAAACCCCTCACTTCCCCATCATTATTGTTAATGATATTATTATTATTATCCTGGTCTATGTCCTCCCACTCTCTATAACTGCATCCTCAGGAAACTCCATATGGTTTCCTCTCTCTCAGCTTTCAGGTTGCTCCTCAAAACTTAATCATTAAACCCTTCTGACTTTAGACCCACTCAATTGCATTTTGATTATCCTTCTCTTGCTTGGTCCCTCCCATTCCCTGACATTTTCCTCCTTTCTATAACCGCACTCTGAGACATCTGTTACATTATATAAACGTTAGAAATGTAAGCTATGGTTTTGTTTGATTGTAGTTGGCATGGCAACCTATATTACAAATTTCAGGACTTGAGGGAAATGTGACTCTCCACCATGGTTTAACGTGGACTGCCAAGCGGGAGTTTTTTTTATAGCATTGCCCCAGCGAGAGCACCGAGAAGATCCGTCGCTATGTACGACACCAAATGCTGGCATGGGGGATTGCCATGCAGAAACGTCACCCAATGCTTAATGTCCATGTCTATGGGGTCCCAAAACTTTACAATCACTGCTCAAGCTGCCAGACTTGTACACAGCTAAGGACGACCCCAAATGGCTGCATAACAGTGTATATGTAGTGGTGATACGCGCTGACAGTAGGGATCGTGTGGCAGCGCGTGGTGATTGGCTGTGTGTCGATGACGCGCGCTGACGGTGAGGGATCATAGAGCAGCGCGGGGTCATGGGTTATGTGGTGGTGATTGGCTGTGTGTTGGTGACGCGCGCTGACGGGGAGTGGTCGTGTGGCAGCGCGGGGCGATTGGTTGTGTGGTGGTAACACGCGCTGGGGAAAACGTATCGTAGGAACAGCGCGTCGTGATTGGTCGACTAGTGGGTGCTCACATCGCGGTCCGCATAGACTCCATCTCCTCGGGAGCGGAGGGCTATATAAGGCGGTGCGTGCGGGCGCTCGGGGAGTGGGTGACCAGTGAAGACAGAAGACGGAGGAAGAAGAGGTAGGGCCCTGAGACCCCTAGTCCCGCTGTCCTTGTAAGGGCCGGGACCCTGTGTGGCTCAGAGGCGGGACCTTGGGACCCGGGGCCGGACGTCCGTGTGAGGGCCGGGCCACGGGACCCAGTGGTCGTGACCCATACCCAAGCTGGGGTGGGTCTGTAGGTTCCCCTGGAAGCTACGGGGCTGGAGAGCCCGTGTGTGTGTAGCCGGGTGGAACATATAGCGGGAGCTGTAGTGTCCACACGTGTTATTGTGGCTAAGGAAGAGCTGTAGTGTCCACACGTGTTATTGTGGCTAAAGAAGAGCTGTAGTGTCCACACGTGCTATTGTGGCTAAGGAAGAGCTGTAGTTGTCTACACGTGTCATCTGATTCCTAACCCATCTCACAGTCTCGTGCTTACAGGCGACTTCAATTGCCCCGGCAATACCCCAGCCTCCATCGATAGTCACCTTGAGTCAACTTTGGCCTGCCATAACCTGGTCATCACAAACTCAGGCCCCACCAGAGCTTCGTCAACAAACGTTGAGAGCATGCTCGACCTGGTTCTGGAACCTAACCAGCACCGACGCATCACTGCACTGGGAGTTTTCCAAACTGGTTACTCCGACCACCGCCTTATACTTTCTTCCCTCCAATTTCCGAAGCCAATCACCATCAAATTCACCCGCAACTTGCGTAATTTTAAGGGTATCGAATTTTCTGCTTTTCGTAACCTCCTTGCAAACTCGCTTTCAATGTTATCCCCATCATCGGATCCAACCGTCTGCGCTCTCCAACTAGAAGCTGACATGAGGGCGGCGCTGGACAAACTAGCTCCATTAAAATCACGAACCGCTAGGCAGTCTTCTCACGACACTCACTGGCTCTCAAGAGATGCCATCATTGCTAAGCGAACCAGGAGGCGTCTTGAACGTATCGCATCCCGCAGTGGTCTACCTGCTGATCGACTTGCTTACAGAGTCGCCTGCAGGAAAACTAACAAACTGATCCTTGTCTCACATTCCTCCCACATTGAGGAACGCATCAAAAAAGCAACTGAAAACCCGCGCATTCTATGGAAAACTCTCAAAGATCTTCTCCATCCTGGTAGCACCATGGTCCCTCACCTTAGCGATCCCCTTGCCTCACTGAAACTTGCCACCTCTTTTAATACTTACTTCAACAACAAGCTAATCGCCGTCGCAAACTCGTGCACGTCTACTGACACATTGCACCATTGTACCCCGCTCATGGTACCTAAAATTGTAAGCACTAACCCAGACACTCTTCTAACTATGCGAAAGCCTGTGTCTACAAAAGACGTTTTCGCTTTAATTGAATCACTTCCTTTGAAGTCATCTCCACTCGACGTGCTCCCAGGTTCCTTGTTCAAGCAATGTGCTCCGGAACTCGCCATCATGATCAGGAACATCGCAAATGCCTCCTTCTCTTCGGGGTGTTTTCCATCCAACCTCAAATCTGGCCTGGTTTCTCCCTTGTTAAAGAAACCAAATCTAGATCCGGATGACCCATCTAGTTATCGTCCCATCACTAACCTCTCGAACCTCTCTAAACTCCTTGAACGACTAGCCCTTGCCCAGCTACAACCACACGTCACCTCTTCCGCAAACTACTGCAACTTCCAGTCAGCTTACCGTCAAAACTATTCCACAGAAACAGCACTCACTAGGGTCCTCGATGACATTTTAACGATCGTTGATTCCGGCTCAACTGTTGCACTTGTAAGTCTGGACATTACGTCAGCCTTCGACACCATCAACCATTCGCTCCTTACTTCCCTCCTGAAATCCGACTTCGGTATATGCGGCTCAGCACTCAAGTGGATAGCTTCGTACCTTTCTGACCGGCAATCCTCAGTCAGGGTGGGCATGTCCACATCGCCTGAAACAAGAGCATTATGCGGGGTTCCCCAGGGCTCTGTTCTAGGTCCCCTGCTCTTCACAGCCTACACTTCCCCGATCGGCCGACTCATTGCAAGCTTCGGTGTTAAGCATCACTCATACGCGGATGACACGATTCTATTCACCGCCATCGATTCTAGCAATGCATCTAGATTCGAGAGGCTCTCGGAATGTACCACCGCCGTGCAACAATGGTTCACTGCACACAACCTAGCCCTTAATCCGAAAAAGTCAGTGGCCATCATGTTAGGTACCAAGCAACGTCTCAATTCAGCAGCACTCCCCACACACATACACATCTTCGGTCATAGCATCAAGTTCACCAACCACTTCAGCTACCTCGGTGTCATCCTAGATTCAACTTTATCCTTCGACCGTCAAACCAACCATATCATCAGCTCATGTAACTTTCACCTGAAGGCTCTTAGACACATACGTCCTCTCATCTCTACTGAAATTGCCAACACTTTGGCATGTTGCATAGTTGGGTCTCGCCTTGACTATTGTAACTCCGTCCTTGTCCGGACCTCCGTTGGCAACCTAAGGAAGCTTCAAAGACTACAAAATAACCTAGCACGCGTCGTCATTGCCCACACTCATCCCCGCCTCGACTCACTAGCTCGTCTCCGCGCTCTCAACTGGCTCCCCATTGCCAGTAGGGTCACATACAAGACCGCCTGCCTCTGCCACAATGCCTTCAT